CAGGTCTCCTCTATCGAGCGCAGGTGGGCAGCGAGGTCAGAGATAGTGGGGAAAGAGGCAAGGTCAGGAAAGAGCATCGGGAGGATCAGGCGACCCACCGAGGCAGCCGGAGGGGTGGAATAGCGCTTGATGACAGCATCTAAGTATGCCTGAGCAGTAGTGAGGGACCTAAAGCTAGGACGCTCGGACGGGGGGAGGGCGTTGCTAATGGCAAGCTGGGCGACAGCATCGCGAGAAAGCCAGACAGAGCGCGCACGGGCAGTGGCAGCAGTAGACTCACGCTCAGTGGGTGTGGGGTCAGCGGGCAGAAGAGCAGGGGGGTCTGGGCAGGGGAGCGTACCGTCAAGGTGTGCGGAAAGTGGTTCACCATCCTGCCGCTGGCCAGTGAGTTGGCGGCGGAGGTCGGCAAGCCACGCCTCGAACTCTAGGGGCTGACCTTCAGCGTCGAAGCGAAGCTCCGCCGCCATCAGGAACAGTCCAGTGCGGTGCAGGGTAGTGCAGCTAGATGCAGTGCGGTACAGTGCGGTGCAGTGCGGTACAGTGCGGTGCAGTGCGGTACTGTGCGGTGCAGTGCGGTGCAATGCGATGCAGTGCGGTGTAGTGCGGTGCAGTGCGGTACAGTGCGGTGCAGTGCGATGCAGTGCGGTGCAGTGCGGTGTAGTGCGGTGCCAGGCAGTACAGTGTGATGCGAGGCGGCACGGAGCAGGGCGGGGTGGGGGGGGAACCGTACCAGTGAGGAGGACGGGGCCGGAGCTGGCCCGAAGGAGCCGGGCGGGCGCGACGGGGCCGGGCTGGTGCGACAGGGCCGGGACGGGGCGACGGGGCCGAGTGGGCGCGACGGGGCCGGGCTGGGGCGACGGGGCCGGGCGGGTGCGGCAGGGCCGGGCCGGTGCGACGGGGCCGGGCGGCTGCGACGGGGCCGGGCAGGGTGCGACGGGGCCGGGCGGGTGCGACGGGGCCGGGCGGCTGCGACGGGGCCAGGCAGGGTGCGACGGGGCCAGGCAGCTGCGACGGGGCCGGGCGGGCGCGACGGGGCCGGGCGGCTGCGACGGCGCCGGGCGGGCGCGACGGGGCCGGGCGGCTGCGACGGGGTCGGGCAGGGGCGACGGGACCAGGGGGGGGGTACGACGCGGCCCAGGAGGGGCGCTACGGGGCCCAGGAGGGGCGCGACGGGGGCCCAGGAGGGGCGCTACAGGGGCCCAGGAGGGGCGCAACGGGGCCCAGGAGGGGCGCTACGAAGCCCAGGAGGGGCGCGACGAGGCCCAGGAGGGGCGCTAAGGGGCCTAGGAGGGGCGCGACGGGGCCTGGGAGGGGCGCGACGGGGCCCAGGAGGGGCGCTACAGGGCCCAGGGAGGGCACGACGGGGCCTAGGAGGGGCGCTACGGGGCCCAGGAGGAGCGCGACGGGGCCCAGTAGGGACGCTACGGAGCCTGGGAGGGGCGCGACGGGGCCTGGGAGGAGCGCGACGAGGCCCAGGAGGGGCGCTACGGGACCCAGGAGGGGCGCTACGGGGCCTGGGAGGAGCGCGACGGGGCCTGGGAGGGGCGCTACGGGGCCCAGGAGGGGCGCGACGGGGCCCAGTAGGGGCGCTACGGAGCCTGGGAGGAGCGCGACGAGGCCCAGGAGGGGCGCTACGGGGCCCAGGAGGGGCGCTACGGGGCCTGGGAGGAGCGCGACGGGGCCCAGGAGGGGCGCTAGGGGGGCCTGGGAGGGGCGCGACGGGGCCTGGGAGGGGCGCTACGAAGCCCAGGAGGGGCGCCAGGGGTCCTGGGAGGGGCGCGACGGGGCCCAGTGAGGGGTGAGCGGAAGCGATAGGTGGGGGGGGGGATCCTACCTACGCGTGATACCATATCGAACTTGAAAATTGAATGATAGATAGAGTGAGAGTACACAAAGATATACCTAAGTGTTGTACTCTCTAAGAGGCGACCCTATACAATCTATACAAACATGACAAATACACATGTTTGACACTCATTTACTACTCACCTGTCAAGCCTCCTTCCCCAATATCACCATATGTCTAGCCCTTGAGCACTCATGTCTACAAGTTCTAGAATGAAGCATGAATGGCCCAAGCATAAAAGCGGCAGCAGTGTAAGAATAAACTTGGGAAGCACCGTGGACAACAGCGGGCGTATGTATAAGAACCTCGGTCCCAGCCCATGTTCGTAAGGAAAATCCCTTTTCCTTATCGAGCACCGCTAATATCAAGTACAGCCCTGACTTTCGGAAGTCCAGGCTCGGCCCAACAATTCAGATTCGAACTACGTTCGAGGCCCTAAGCCTGCACGCGGCGTCGCGTCCGACACTTCCGAGTCCCAAGGCGCCCCGAACCACCTCGCGTGTGTTTCGTAGCCTTCCTCGAGGCTCTCTTGCTAGGCTAGCTGTGCTTGTATTTAACCCTGTGCTCCATTTGTACTCGAGACACTTTAATCACGACCTCACTATTGCATTGCTCGACTCCTATCCGGATATTATCATAACAACTGGTATCAGAGCTACGTTCCTGCCCATTTAGGCTTCCGTAGTGAGGTAGTTTTTAGAGGGACCTCGCACGTTAGGAGACAGGAGCTGTCTAGCGGTCGTGGAGGAACTTCTTCAGTTCCGCCGACTTTGTCGTGTGCGCTCCACGTCTCTAACGCTGCAGGTGCCCGCAGTGTCTTTAGTGGCGTTAGCTAGTCAGGGTAATTCATGGTCAATAGCCCTCCTCGCCGTAGTACTAGACGGCGAATAGCTGTAGCTGGGTTGTCAGAGGCGGCAGCAAGCGCATCCGTACTGACGACGAAGGTTGGCGAAATGATGGCGAAGATGGAGGCCATGGCCCTCGAGCTCGTTGCGTTGAAAGAGGAGAACGTAAGCCTTCGCGAGACGTGTGGTGCGACGCATCAGGAGTCGCTTATTACTGTGGACGAAGATCGTGCGAGCGCGCATCAACCGCAGGCGACGTCAGCAATACGTGACGACAGTTTGGGCGAGCGGCGGGCAGTTGTGAAGATAAAACCTGCCATGCCCCCGCCGTTCAACCCCCTGGAGAAACACACCACGCTGAGTGGGTGGCTGTTCGCCATGGAACTGTTCTTCAATGCCGCCGACGTCAACGACGATGAGACACGCGTCAAGTTGGCGGTGTCTTTATTATGCGGACCTGCATTACGTTGGTGGCGACAGTACGTGACGTCATATTGGACTCCGGCAGACCGGCAACAGGCGATGGATGGGGAGCGACGATTGGCTTCAACTCCTACATTATCCTTGTTTGGTGTGGCCGAGATACTCATCTGGCAACATTGGGGTGCACTGCTTCGACGGTGCTTCGGTCATGTATCCGCATATGAAAACGCTCGTGTGAAGCTGCACGGATGGCGTCAACTAAGTTATGTGCTGGAGTACACGTCATCCTTCCTCGCCATCTACGACGAAATCGACGATCTACACGAGACGGAGAAGACAAGTTGATACATCATAGGGCTGAAACCGGAGGTCCAATACGCCGCCCGTCGACATTCATGGAGGTGCAGCAGGTCGCAAAAGCGTGGGACGAAAACAGTGTAATGGTCGAGGGCGAATTTCCGGGAGGGAAGTTGTTTTCGAGGGCGGAACAGTTACCCATCCATCAACGGCGTGGCGACACCGTCAGATAACAGATTTTTTGGCCGGTGTTATAAATGTGGCCAGCCGGGGCACATCATGCGGGACTGTCCGGAGTTGCAGAAATCGGGAGCTAACGACGGAAGGTAGCCGGGAAATGGACAGCATCAGTAGCAGTCGGGCCCCCTATTGATGAGGCTTCGTCGCCCGAAGATCAACATTCCCACCGAGTCGTAGTGCCGATCTATGCGATCGACCACACCTTGTTAAAGGGGAGTGAACCTGTTGACTGCCATGTGCTGGTAGAAGGGCAAGTTGGCAACACCAGATTAAAAATATTTGTGGACGGTGGAGCATCACACAGTCTGTTCGATGTGACAAGAGTGGAAAAACTGCAACTACAAATGGAGAAGTGCATGCCCGAGATTGACGCGAGGTTGGTCGACGGCACGCCATTTGCACGGGAGCGGGTGAAACACGTTCGCATTAAAGCCTGACCAGCAGGTTGCAACTCTCTTTTCTCAAGATGCTGCATCTTGAGAACCTGTAACCGAACCCACCCGCAGCAGTGGTTGACGAGACTCAAACACCTCAACTCTCTGCCTCACAAACTGGGCAAGTTTGCGTCCCTGCCAAGTATCGAGGTGATCAAGCACGAAGTGTGCTCAAAGGGTAATTACTCTTTAAAATTTTGACTTTCAGGCGGTTTAGCGAAAGTGTACCAATGTGTGTTTGATGGCACAAGGGCGAAATCGAAACCCAATAGTTGAGACTCGTTTCCTTTCAACTTGCCCTAACAAAAAAATAACGATCTGGGCTGTTAGCGCAAAAACGCAGGCACGAAAACCCCCCTTGCAACATGGCAAAGAGGCAGGTGTGAGTCCCCTGCCAAATGACGGGGCTCAAACCTGACACCTCTGCCAGGTTGCGTAGCCCTTGGGAACTCCCTCGCAAGCACGAGGTGGACGAATAGAAAGTTTCACAAAAACATTTCGCTTATCTTTTTCCCCGTCAACCAATCGTAATCTGCCGACCCACCTATTTCAACAGTACTAATATGCAACCTGCCGGACGGGTTTTAATTGCGATAGCCAAGTCAGTTTCGCCATGAAGATGCTGGCGACAATGTTGGACGGCTGCGATGTACTCCTAGGGCGAGATTGGCTTCGCACGTACAATCCAAGCATCGATTGGGGGAATGGCGACATTCGTTTGAAGTGGGGTGGCGAATGGCAACGACTGCCGAAGTGGAAACCACCCGACCCTCCGTCGACCCTAGTGAACAACGTGACGATTAAGTGGGTAATGGCACGTGGCGTGGACGTCTACGCCATCCGATGGATCGCATCAACAGAGGTGGCTGAACAGACCGACCTGGAGAAGCTGTGTGCTGCTGTCCCTGAGGACCTAATGAAGATCATGCGCAAGTACGAGAAGATTTCTCCTGATTACCTGCCTCCCGGCCTGCCACCCGAACGACCACACGATCACAAAATTGGGTTGGAACCTAGCGCGCAACCGACCGTCCGATCGCAATGGCGTCTGAGTCAACAAGAGCTGATGGAGCTGCGTACGCAACTGGATTATCTGCTACAGAAAAAGCTTATCAGACCATCCACGTCACCCTACACCGAGCCGATTCTCTTCACCCAAAAAGGATGGAGGTCTACGGATGTGTACTGATTATCGAGCACTCAACGACATCACCATAAAGTCCCGTTACCCGATTCCACGAGTGGACGATCTAATTGACCAACTTCGCGGGGCTAGGATTTTTTCAAAGTTTGATCTATGAGGAGGTTACCACAAGATTCTTGTTGCCGAAGCTGATATTCCAAAAACTGCTTTTCGAACCCATTACGGAAGTTATGAGTATACTGTGATGCCGTTTGGGATGACGGACGCACCTTAAACTTTTCAACTGACCATGAACAAAGTCTTTCGCTCGCTACTGGACAAGTGCGTCATCGTCTACCTAGATGACATCTTGATGTATAGCACATTGTTGGCAAAACATTTGACGGACCTGGATGCACTTTTTACCATCTCCGATCAACACCGACAAATCACCAAGGGCTCTAAGTGCGAGTTCTTAAAATAGGAGCTAGAATTCCTGGGCCACATCATCTCGACCGAAGGCGTTAAAATTGACCAGAAAAAGATCGACACAATTCACAATTGGGAACCGCCTACAAACGTCAAGGAGTTGCAAAGTTTTCTGGGGTTCGTCAACTACGTGCGCTGCTTTATCCCAAACATGGCGGAGTCCACAGCCCCATTAACCGACTTGCTTCATAAGGGATTTTTTTATGAGTGGGGGGAGAGGCAGCAAGCTGCGTTTGACCAACAAAAAACTTTCCTCGTGGCACCACCCGTTCTTCGTATCGCCGATCCCGACCGCCCATACGAACTGGTTAGGGATGCCAGCGACATTGCCGTTGGCGCGGTAAAATACAGGGCTTTGGCGAAGGCCTGGAACCAATCGCCTACGAGTCACGGAAACTCCAAGGCGCTGAACGGAATTACCCGGTTCATGACAAGGAGATGCTTGCGATCGTCAATGCTTTCAAGACCTGGTGCTGCTACCTATCCGGTGACGACGTTACTGTCCGAACAGGCCACAAGTCCCTATAATTCCTCCGAGCCCAACCGACCCTCAATCCACGACAGATTCGTTGGCTCGAATATCTCGAGTCCAATTTCCACTACCGCATCACCTACAAGAAGGGGGCAAATAACGTTGCCGATGCCCTTTCCCGCCCTACTGCCCATACAGTCGCCGTACTAATCGCCCAAGCTAACCCGCTGCTAACTGGACTGTTTACCCACGGCTACAATACCGATCCTCTCTTCACCTCCAAAGGCCACCAAGCCCTGTCCACTCAACGAGGCCACTACCACCTACAGTGACGGAAACAATTGTCCGGATGTTTAGTTTTTTTTTTTGCATTTTTTAGAGTGCAGCGGCGTAAACATTAAGCCTTAATTTATGGTGAGCATAAACGTTGAGAAGATCAGTTAGAGCACTCATTAAAGTCACCAAAAACCATAGTACTATAATACATGGTCCTTAAACACCTAAGCATATCATAAGAGCACATCCGGACAATTTGTACCGAGGACAGGCAGCAAACTAGAATTATGAAAAACTAGTACCTAGTCCAGCGTCCTTTTGCGCGAATCGCTGCCTTGATCCTCCTCGGCATACTGTCGATGAGGTTTGAACACACCTCCGCCGGTATCTTGTCCCATTCCTCCTGCACCCTCTCCCACAGCTCCAGCATTCCACTAGGTGGTTTTTCGTACTTCGCCAGCTGCCTTTTCAAGTGTGCCCACAGGTGCTCTATCGGGTTAAGGTCCGGAGAGGACGAGGGCCATTCCAGCACCGCGTACTCCTGCTCCCCGAGCTAGCCTTGCACTAGATGGGACTTGTGCTTGGGCTCATTGTCGTGCTGGAAAATGACCTCTGAGGGGGGGAGCTTGAAAAAGTCGATGGTCTGTGAGAGCTCATCTTGCAAGATGCTACGATACAGCGGCCCATCCATCTTGCCATCTATCTTGCACATGAACCCCGCCCCCTCATACGTCATGCAACCCCACACCATCATGGAACCGCCCCCATGCTTAACTGCCTATTGGAGTTGATGGCTCTGGAGGCTGGTGCCCTCGCGAATCCAGGCGTACGCACGTCCGTCGGAGCAGAAACGGTTTATCTTAGTCTCATCAGACCAAATCACCCGCTTTCAGTCCTCCAGCGTCCAGTCGGCATGCGACCTCGCGAAATCGAGCCGATCACATATGTTTTTCGGTGAGAGCCTGGGTTTCTCGGGCTGCTGCACAGCGATCAAGCCCGCGGATCGCAACGAGTTCCTGACTGTCTTCGAGTCTACAGCCAGAGAGTGCTTCTCCTCTAACATCTTTGCGACGTCTACACTGCTTTTCGCCTCCCCACTTGTAATCGCTCGAACTATTCCGCGCTGGAGTCGGGTTGTGATTAAGCGGGGGCGGCCGGCCGTGGGCATCGTGGGTCGCACCTCATCGCGACTAGTCTCGGCAATCACCTTCAGACCGTAATCATGCATGGTGCTCTTGCCTATGCCAAGAACTTTGGCTATTTTCCTGGTCGAATGCCCTTTGCGCAACATGCTTATGATTCGCGCTCGCTTCTTGTCATCTACCGGCTTCATCGCGATGCTGTCGTAGGTTCGCTTCAGGACTAACTCCTAGACTAGCAGCTGTTGCGCGAGACGATGTGCACGGTGAGTGACGGACGAACATAGATCTAGAACGTCGTTCGGAATGAACTGTTCGGATCGACAGCCAAGGAGTAAATCTCAACCCCGCTTTCCGGTTGTGTCACAATCACGCCAAGCAGGATACGGTTGAAGCAGAACTCGATAACCTTGTAACAGTATGGAAGAAAAATGATGTTACTATTTTCGAAACAAGTGTGGCATAACGATAAGTTTCGAAGTGCTAAACATCCGGGCAATTTTTTCCGCCACTGTAAAAGCTAGTACTGGCTGAATTTGGGTCCCATCCTACTGACTGTTACAGGAATTACTGATATAAGAGGTTTATGACGCTAATTGCTCCGGGCATTTCGGGGTTGATAAAACATTGAAAATGCTCCAACGTCATTATTACTGGCCGAATGCGAGCCACGACGTGCAGCAATATGTGACCTCATGTCCCACCTGCCAACTGATGAAATCCTCTCGCCAAAAGCCAGCTGGATTGCTGCAACCGTTAGAACCACCCACCAAGCCATAGACACACGTGTTCATAGACTTTATGACAGGACTGCCGGGCGGTGCATCCCAAAATGATGCTGTACTCGTGGTCGTAGACCGACTCATGAAAATGGCTCATTTCGCGCCATGCCGAACGACGATCACAGCCGAGCAAACCGCCAAGCCGCTCATCTCAACCGTCGTTCACCTGCACGGAATCCCAAAGGCGATCGTGAGCGATCGTGACCCCCGATTCACATCCAACTTCTGGACGAAAATGTGGGAACAGTACGGTACACGTCTCCATCTACTCACAGCTTACCACCCACTGACCGACGGCCAGACTGAACGGACAAATCAGACAATGGAGCAGCTGATACGGACAACCTGTACCGACTCGACCCAATGGGAAGATTCTCTTCCCCTAATCGAGTTCGCATATAACAACGCCCCTTCGTCAACGACTGCCCAATCACCGTTCTACCTGAATTACGGTCTAAACCACACGACCCCCACTACACCGTTAATTGAGAGCCCTGCCCCACGATCGCAAAAGTTTGTCAAGGACTTACAGACAGCAGAGAAAAACGCTACCGAGGCTATTTCAAAAGCCAACCTTACGGCCAAACGGTACGCGGACAGGCATCGACGGAATTTACCCTTGTTTCCTGGGCAACTAGTCCTCCTGGACACCAAGAACTTGGGGCTGAGTTTACCACATAAACTCCGCCTGAGATTTTGTGGACCCTTCCGCATTGTCCGAATGGTGACACCTGTCAACGCCAAGTTACTACTACCGGACGACTGGGGTATCCACGACTCATTCCACGTCAGTCTCCTTCGACAGTTCGTTGCAAACACGGCTGATCACGACCGTCAACGACTCTATCCTTCGATCAGACCCGTCCCTGAGCCAACCACCGAACCAAAGCAAATCCTCTCCCACCAAATTCGCCAAGACCAAGGTCAACGGGTTTTGGAATTCCTGGTTCGATGGGTTGACCGTACGTGTGACGACGACATGTGGGTCCCAGCTGCTACCCTCGACAACCACCCATTGGTGCAGGTCTATTTACACGATCGGGCTGCCCCAAATGTGGGCAGTCTCGTCTAGGAGGGGGGAAGTGTCGAGTGACCCGCTGGGTTACCCTTCAAAAGATCCTCGAAGGAGGGCCACAGGTGCGGAGCCTGGGGGGCTGTGGGCGCGCTTACCCGCTATTCAACAAGCCCTTTTAACCCAGTGGTTAGTGACTGGGTTTCTGACAGGAAGGTGTAAGGAAGATCCCTTGTCCTTATCGAGCCCCGCTAACATCGAGTACAACACTGACTCTTGAAAGTCCAGGCTCGGCCGGACAATTCAGACTCGAACTACGTTCTAGACCCCAAGCCTGCACGCGGCGTCGCATCCGACACTTCCGAGTCCCGAGGCGCCCCGAACCACCTCGCGTGTGTTTCGTAGCCTTCCTCGAGGCTCTCTTGCTAGGCTAGCTGTGTCACACATGTGTATTTGTCATGTTTGTATAGACTGTATAGGGTCGCCTCTTAGAGGGTACAACACTTAGGTATATCTGTGTGTACTCTCACTCTATCTACCACTCACTTCTCTTTCCACCCCTCCGGCTGCCTCGGTGGGTCGCCTGATCCTCCCGATGCTCTTTCCTGACCTTGCATCTTTCCCCACTGTCTCTGACCTCGCTGCCCACCTGCGCTCGATAGATGAGACCTGGCGCGCAGCCTGCACTGATGCACAGCTTAGAGCCCACCAGCCGCCCATTACCTCTACCCTCTACCTGCTTGCCACCCGCCTCCCTAACCGCCTTGCTGTCGCCCGCGACCGCTTCCTTAGCATTCACCCCGCAGACCTCACCCTCACTGACTTTGTAGACACCCTGACTGTGATAGAGACCCGTCACCGCTCCATCGCCCAGGCGAGCGGTGTCGTGCCGGTCCCTATCTTTCAGGGTTGTGCCCCCGCCCAGTGTACCTTCTCCGACGGCTCTGCCGCAGTGGCTGAGACTGCTGCTGCAGCGCAGTTTCGTTCGGGGAAGGGCCGCCGCCCCAAGGTTGGGCGCGGCGGAGGCGGCGGCGGGGGTACGGGAGGGGGTAGTGGTGGGGTCGGGTCGTCTGGTGCTGGAGCGGACGAGGGGACCCTGCCCAGTCCAGCTGAGCCGCCGCCCCTGCAGTTGCAGCAGCCGCAGCAGCCGCCGCAGTCGCAGCCTTCGCAGCAGCCGTCGCAGACGCGGCAGACGAGTGTCCTCCCGCCCAGGTGGCCCGGCGCTGGCGGTGGCCAGGCGCGTGGTGGTGTGCCGAGTGGTGGCTCTGGCGACGGGCGTTGTTAGTACCAGATCCAGACCGGTCCTCGCCGTGGCTTCGTCGCCTGGACGACCTCTTTCGTCAGCGCTTCGGCCCGTCGCCAGACCTCCCGGACTGGCACAGTTTGCTTAGTCGTAAGATTCAGATTTTTGATATGGACATGGATGCCATTGTTTCTGCTCTGCATGTGATGTATGCTGATGACTCTAGTGTGCTTCCCTCTTATTACTCACTGTTGCCTAGTGTAGGTGTGCCTAGCTTAGCCTCCCCTGCTGCGTCAGGCGTAGGATCCCCTGCTTTGTGTAGTCTTGGTGCTTCCGCCGTCGCCAGACGCCTCTGCTTCGCTTTCCTTCACCTTGGACTCTGGCGCTTCTCGGTGTTTCTTTCGCGATTCCACCACCCTGACGCCGCTTCCTGTTCCAGCTGCCGTTTCTCTTGCTGACCCCTCCGGCGGTCCGGTAGTCGCCCGCAGTTCCACCACCCTTCCCTGTCCGGCGGTTCCTTCGGGCACTCTGACAGGTCTGCATATCCTCTCGTTCTCCAGGAACCTAGTTGGTGTCGGCTGCCTCCAGGACCTTGGCGTCACCACTACGTTCCCTGGTCACGAGCGGTATGCTGTCTGTACCGAGGCCGCCACTGGTGCCCCCCTGTCCACGTTCCCCCCGGACCCGGTGTCCGGCCTGTTCACTCTGGACACCGTGACCCCCCCGGCTGGAGCGCTCACCCAGGTTGCTGCTGCCTGCTCCTGTCGGTCCCTCACTCACCCAACCCTCCTTTGGCACCACCGCCTAGGTCACCCTGCACTCCCGCGTCTGCGTCACATGTCCCAGCACGGTCTTGTCCTTGGTCTCCCAGGTTCCCTCCCCGCGTTTCCCTCCTCCCCAGCCCCACCTTGCACGCCTTGTGTCGAGGGTCGGCTTCGCCGTGCCCCTCACTCCTCCTCGTTTCCCCTTACCGCCGCGCCGCTGCAGACCCTGCACCTGGACGTCTGGGGCCCCGCCCCCGTCCCTGGGCCGCGTCGAGAGCGCTACTTCTTTGTGCTTGTCGACGACGTCACTCGTTACACCACAGTCTTTCCCCTGGAGCGCAAGGCCGACGTGCCTGGCGCTCTCATCCCCTGGCTTGTCTCTGCGCGTGTCCACCGCGGTCTCCCTGTCTTGCGCCTTCACTCAGACCGTGGTGGCGAGTTTGCCTCAGGTGTCCTTGGTCGCTTTTGTCGTGCGGAGGGCATCACCCAGACGTTCACCCTACCGGACTCCCCACAGCAGAATGGGGTCGCTGAGCGACGCATCGGTTTGGTCATGGAGGTGGCTCGCACCTCCATGATCCATGCCGGTGCACCCCATTTTCTGTGGCCGTTCGCTGTGCGCTACGCTTCTCACCAGCTTAACTTGTGGCCGCACCCTCAGCAGCCGCAGGTTTCGCCGACCCGTCTTTGGACTGGGTCTCCTGGTGACGCGTCTGCGTTCCACGTCTGGGGCTGCCTTGCTCACGTCCGTGCCTCCGGCACGGACAAGCTCACTGCCCGCACCCTTCCCTGCGTCTTCCTCGGTTTTCCCCTTGACGCGTCCGACTGGCACTTTTACCACCCGCCGTCTCACCGCTTCTTTCACTCTCGTGACGTCACCTTTGACGAGTCCGTCTCCTACTACCGTCGCTTCCCCCACCATGGTCCCCCGGTTACCCCCCCCCTGTTCCTGGTCACTCCTTCCCCGGTAGTCCCTGCCCCTCCTCCTCCTCCTCCCCGTCCCGCCCCCTCTGGTGTGTCCCACGTCACCCTCCTTCCGTCGGTGGACCCGGTTGAGGAGTCTTCTGACTCTGGTGGCCCTCCTGTTCAGTCCTCGCCGGCCGCCCCTCCCCTGGCGTCCCCTCCCCAGTCCCCCCCTCCACCGCCTCTGCCGCCACTGCAGCCGTCGTTGTCGCTGCCGCCGCCGCCGCCGCCGCCGCCGCCGTCGCAGCACCCGTTCGCTGACTCTGGGGGTGCTCGTCCCGGTAGCCCTGGGGGTGGTCCCTCTGAGGGTGCTGGTGTGGAGAGTGCCGGTGGTAGCCGAGGAGCAGCTTGCGGTCCAGGTGTCGCCGTTGTGCCGCCGCAGCAGCAGTCCCCGCCGGTGTCAGCCCTTCGCCTGCTCGGCCTTCCGTCCCCCGACCCTCCGTCAGTTCCTCCCCGACCGTCTCCTCCTCTTCCTGTCTACGGCCCTGTCTTCCCTCCGCCGGACTCGTCCCCAGCCCGTCTCCCCCCTCGTTCCCTTCCTGTGTCCCCTCCTCTGTCTCCTGACCCGACTCCTCCGTCGCACGTCTGGTCTCACCGTCCCTCCCGTGCTCATCCTGCCTCGCCTGTCTTGCGCTCCCACCCTATGTTGCTTCGTTCCCACGCGTCTCGTCCTCCCCTTCTGCCGTCGCCTCCTCCGTCCTCCCTTGTTGTTGCACCCCCCCTGCTGTCTGACTACCTTCGTGCCGCTCGTCCCCTTGTTCCTCGGGTCCTTGCCTCTCTCGTTACCGACCCGTCTGTTCCGGCCTCGTGCCTTGACGCTCTTGTCGCTGCTGTCGCTGACTTCGCCTCTACCCGCCGCCTTGACTACGCCTCCGCTCTGGTCTCTGACCCTGCCTGTCCTCCGTCTGTCGGGGGTGCTCCTGCCCTTGGTAGTGACGTCCTGGAGGACCGCCAGTTCGAGCTTGCTTTCCTCTCCAAGGCTGCTCCCCATCTCTGTTCCATGCTGCTAGTCCCTGAGGGTGACCCAGACGCTTTCGACATCCCGACCCCTCGCACTTACGCTGAGGCGACTTCGGGACCCTGGGCCTCGCAGTGGATAGCTGCCATGGAGCAGGAGATGGCATCTTGGAGATCCACCGGCACCTTCGTCGACGCAGTTCCCCCACCTGGGGTGAACGTAGTCGATGGCCGCTGGCTCTTCAAGGTGAAGCGCCCTCCTGGAGAGCCGCCTGTCTTCAAGGCGCGCTATGTGGCTAGAGGCTTCAGTCAGCGCGAGGGGGTGGACTTCTTCCAGACCTTCGCTCCGACCCCGAAGATGACTACTCTTCGGGTTCTGTTACACCTAGCTGCTCAACGTGACTACGAGCTTCACTCTCTCGACTTCTCCACTGCCTTCCTTCAGGGCAGCCTACACGAGCAGGTCTACCTGCGTCGCCCTCAGGGCTTCACTGGCACCTTCCCTCCTGGGACCCAGTGGCTCCTGCGGCGCCCCGTCTACGGCCTGCGCCAGGCTCCCCGTGAGTGGCACGACACTCTCCGTGCTACGCTTGCTGACCTGCAGTTCTTTCCGTCTTCCGCAGACCCTTCACTCTTCGTTCGTGTTGGTCAGACTCCGTTCTACATCCTTGTTTACGTCGACGACCTGGTCTTTGCCACAGCAGACAGGGACGCACTGGCCTCCGTGAAGGCAGAGCTGCTGAAGAGACACACGTGCACTGACCTTGGAGAACTGCGTCGTTACCTTGGCTTGCAGATCTCCAGGGACAGAGCTGCGCGCACCATCACCCTGACTCAGTCACACTTGGTGCGCCAGGTCCTTCAGAGGTTCAGCCTTTAGTTCTCCTCTGCACAGCCCACCCCTCTGCCTGTAGACCACAGACTCTTCGCTCCAGTGTCTGAGGAGTTGGTAGAGCCCAGCGGCCCCTACGCAGAGCTGGTGGGTTGCCTCATGTACCTAATGACTTGCACTCGCCCAGATCTCGCATACCCTCTCAGCATCCTGGCTTGCTTTGTGGCCACAGGCAGACACCGACCGCAGCACTGGTCTGCCGCTAAGAGGGTTCTGCGTTATCTTGCTAGTACATCGGGCATGGGGTTAGTGCTAGGAGGACGTAGGCCAGTGGTCCTTACTGGACACACAGACGCTTCGTGGGCAGACGACGCTGAGACACTCATGTCTACCCAGGGCTACTGCTTCAGCCTTGGCTCAGGTGCCGTCTCGTGGAGAGCTACCCGCTCCTCGTCTGTTGCGCAGTCCAGCTGTGAGGCTGAGATCTACGCTGGTGCCATGGCGGCAAAGGAGCTCCGCTGGCTGATCTTCTTGCTCACTGACTTAGGTGAGCGGCCTAGCTCTGCCCCGGTCCTGTTCGCTGACAACAGGGCCATGATCCTCCTGTGTCAGGAGCCTCGACTCGAGGGCAGAGCAAAGCACATTCAGCTGCAGTACTTCCTCCTGCGTGAGCTACAGCAGCGACGTCAGGCTCGCGTAGTACACTTGGCCTCAGGTGCCAACACGGCTGATATCTTTACGAAGGCGCTTGCGCCTAAAGATCATCAGCGGCACTGTGTACAGCTTGGTCTAGTTCCTGTAGCCTCTCACTTGTTAGGACCTTGACTTTGTACTGTCCTTTATACGTATACTCAGACTGGACTTGTGTCCTCTCCCAGTGGCTGGACTAGTAGTGCCGCCCTGCTCTTGTTCTTGCCTTGTCTGTACTCCTTCTGACTGGTCTCTCAGACCCTTGTCTCAGAGGTTGGACTAGTAGTGCCGCCCTGAGCTACTTGTTTAGGACATTCCCCTATGCAGTCTAGGGGGTGTGTCAAACATGTGTATTTGTCATGTTTGTATAGACTGTATAGGGTCGCCTCTTAGAAGGTACAACACTTAGGTATATCTGTGTGTACTCTCACGCGATCTACCACTCACTTCTCTAATTCTGATAAGCTGTGCTTGTATTTAGCCCTGTGCTCCATTTGTACTCGAGACACTTTAATCACGACCTCACTATTGCATTACTCGACTCCTATCCGGAGATTATCATAATAATGTTACTATCACCCCATGTTAAATGCACATTGAGGATTCAATTTTATTTTTATTCCACTTCTCCATATAGGACAAATGGTCAGCTGAAATAGTGCACTTGTGTTTTCTGTTCTGCTCTCGCGGGTTCGCTAACGATGAGGACTTATTTCCATATAGAATCGGGGACGCGATGCGCGGTGTCTTATTCCCGCCTTTCAATGCGAGGCGCAACGACCCCGAGAAGCCCATGCCACTCTTTGAACCTTGTCAAATGCCGTGGAGTGCGCCACTTCTCTAGGATTTTCCCGAAGCGCAATTCGAATTTCCGCTGTCGAGACGCGGGCGTAGGACGAAACAGGGCAGGCGCAGCTGACCAACTCTCTCCAAACACACAACCAGACAAGCCCAAGTATGGGCGAAAATTTACCTTACGGGAATTGTTGCGACGGAAGGTAGTTTTTTTCCGGAAACCAACCAATGATTGCCTTTCCGAAAACCGTAACGGATGCGACGAAACTCTCAACACCACCTCGAATTTGTTGGATTTCGCAGCGGGAACTTCCCCAGTTTCCCACT